GAGGCATTCAACAAGACAATCACCTTATTTATATCGATAATTGGTTTTCATCGATACCTCTTTTGAATGAGCTTGTTCAAAAGAAAATATATTGTCTAGGAACAGTCCGCTAAAACCGTCTTCCTAGGTGTCCTTTATTGTCAGACAAAATCCTGATAACAATATGATGCGGATCGTTTCAGGAAATAGAGTTGAAATAGAGTTGAAATGGCACGACTCTCGTGCAGTGTTGCTTATCTCCTGCCAAACCTCTTGATACAATTAGAAGATGGGATAAAACAAGAAAAGATACTATAGATGTTCACTGCCCCACAGCTATTATGAATTCACTAATAGGTCTATACAGAATCACAATTAGATCGAAGAAATATTACCATCGTTTTTTATTCCATTTTATGGATATGACAGTTGTAAATTGTTGGCTTTTATATAGACGTGACTGCAATGATTTTGGTGTTCCAAGGAAAAATGACCTGTCTCTGTTTAAGTTTAAGAGTCAATAGCCGAAATTAACAAAAAATTAGGATGTCCCAGCAGTACCTCTATTGATGACCTTCATGCAGCAAAACAACACAAAAGTACGGCTACAAAAATGATTCCCCAAAAGGATATTCGGCAGGATGGAATAGGACATTGGCCCGTTGTGAAAGATAAAAGAGAACGATGTCGAAAATCTGATTGTAAAGCAGTTCCTGTGCATTATTGTGAGAAGTGCAACGTGTATAGTTTATTTCACGAAAAATGGTTGAGTGCTTAATGATTTAATTTAATTTTTTTTTTACAAAAATTTGGAAAAAATCATCAAAGGGGGTACCCTTGGATGTTTTTTAAAATTTCGTTATTCGGCTATATTGGCGTCAATTTTCGTCCTAGAGTCAAGCGGGTAGACATTTTTTACATAAAATTGACCGCTCGTTCTTTTGCCATACTCAGAATTTTCCTACAACTAACGGTTCATGAGAAAAATTTTCATTTGGAGGTCTATATATCGGATGAAAAACTTGAGAATTTTTAATTCGATTTTTTTTTCCGGCAATTTTGGGGTAGCGGATCAGACTAATACACATTTTTGTAATAATCTGGACACAATGCATGCACCAAAACATAAAAAAAAAATGTTTTTTTTTACAAAAATTTGGAAAAAATCATCCCAGCAATAAAACCCGACCGCAAGTACCCTAGCTTAGTCAACATTAGTTGAGCAGGTAAGTATTGAGGTAAAATTGAAGCTACTATGTATAGTATGTTTGTATCATAAATTCCTGGTAATATAAAAACGATGAAAAAAACGTATAAAATTATAAAAACGATTAGAATACATTTTATTTCATAAAGTTGTAAACATCCTAACAGTGAGTTTCACTATCAATGGTTGATCTTTTAATGTCCACAATAAATTTGTTTATCGCTATGTATTTCCTGGAATAATTATACAGGTTGCCTCTATTCTGTTTAATTTGTAAAAGTATATAAAACCGATGAAAAATTTTTAAATATACATTTTGTTTCATTTAGTTGAAAGTGTTACCAGTGTTATACCTATTTATACCTATAAAACAGCATTATGTGGCGTCCGTGTAAAAACATTGATGGTGCTTCTTCCAGTGTTCCAGCAAAGAAAAAGCATTTATCTGCTGACGCTAGAGAAATCGTAAAAACAATATATAGTTCTTTACTTACAAGAGGACTTACTGCTAATACTGCTGCCAGTGAAATATCTGATTAAACGAAAATACCTCTAACCACAGTGAAAAAAATTACATCAAATTCCATTAAGTCAAGAAGGAAGCGTAATGATGCCGGTTCTACCAAATGTATTGACGAAAGTGATAAGGACTTAATAAGACGAAAAATTTACACAATGTACGAAGAGCAACGGATACCTACATTAGATGCTTTAAAACAACGGCTTACTAATGATGATACACAAATAAACTGTAGCCGCATTAGTCTTTGGAGGATTTTGTCTAAAATGGGCTTCAGGTATCGTACAATTGACAAAAGGCAAGTGCTTATGGAGTCCCATCGGTGACAAAAGTGGCGTACTGAATATATAACTTCCATAAGAAAGTACCGTACAGAAGATCGACCAATAATTTATCTAGACGAGACATGGTTTGACACTTATGAAACACCATCCAAAGGATGGTCCGATTCTTCCAACAGGTGTCAAACAAAAGCTCCATCAAACAAAGGAAAAAGAATAACAATTTTACATGCAGGATCAGAAAATGGTTGGGTCCCAAATGCCTTATGGCTTTCTGCAAAGAACATTAAAGACTCATGCGTGGACTACCATGAGGATACAACGGCAGAGCTTTTTGATCAATGGTTTAAGAATTGTCTTATACCTAACCGTCTTCTAAATAGTGTGATAGTAATGGACAATGCAAGTTACCACAGTCGTCAATCATGTCTCCAAGTGCAAATAACACGAAAATTGAAATTCAAAACTACCTGTTAGAAAACGATATATATTTTAAAAAAAGTTATTTAAAAAATGAACTGTTAGAAGTGTTAAAATCATTTTCTATTAAAAAGTATATGTTTGTGACGCATTAGCCGAGGACATGGAACATACAGTGCTATATAGTACTGTTGTTTATTTAATCCCATAGAGCATATGTGGCACCAACTAAAGTCAAATGTTAGGTCACAAAATGTTTCTCCGACTTTAAGTGGTAGTGTAGTCGAATTAATAAGGAAATGTGTTGATGATATCTCCCCAGAAAGTTGGAAAAATTCAGTACGCCAGGTAATGAACGTAAAAAATTCATATGTTACTTTGAATCACATAATTAAACCAATTGATATTAATCTTGAAGACAGCGACAGCGAAACAGAATTAGGTATTTAGGAATTCTTAAATATATTTTGGTTATTTTGGGTATTTTTTTTTGTAAATATTAACTTGTATATATTTTTCTATATTTTTTTTCAATGCATCTATTTTTTGTACAATTATGTATTCGTTTGTATGTATATACTGTAAATATAACTATTATTACTCTACATTTTTAACGATTACGATTAGGAAGAGCAAAAACTTTTAAACGCGCCAGTTTTTTGCTGACAAAGCCTGTAAAGCCTGTAAAAAGTGTGAAGGAAAGTACCTTTCTGAATTTAGATCCATATACTACAATTATTTACGTAGAACAAAAAAACTACTTTCTTTATGTTCAAAATTGTTCAATTATCAAGTATATTCACTGGAACAACCTGAAAATACCATATGAAATAATTTAATAAAGTTTTATAATCGTGTATTACACAGCTACCAATGAAATATATTAAATAACAAACTTTCTGAAATGCGACCCTGTGTACTTCGGTAGTTTATTGAGAGACTCTTGTATGCACAATAGGATCAACTCAGTTAACCATTAAGCACTCAACCATTTTTCATGAAACAAACTATACTTATTAATTACTATTTATAACTGGGAATAAGCCACAATTAAAGATAAAAATACGTTTATTGACGTTTCAATTTCCAATTCGGAAATCGTTCTCAAAATACAAACAGTAAATTAAACAAATTTTGTTTTTTGTTACATAGTGAAAAAATTCTTCTAATAATTTAATTTTATCTGACTCATTTATATTGACAATTCAGACACACATTATGCATTTTAAAGTAGACGACTTTAAAATGATATTGCCAATATTGTTGAGTTGCGCTCCTGGGACGACTTTACTTATAAGATAGTTCATTCGATTACATGAAATCAACTTTAACTTGAGAATATCCGTCAGAAAAAATCATAGCATCTAATTCGTCTTTAAAAAGACAAACACATGATATGATGACAGTAAAATTCTCCTGTTAGTGATTCCATAGTAAATTATGAGGGAAAAACCAGGAAAAAAACCTCATAATACTATCCCGACATTGTAAGTATTTGTTAGTGAATTTAGTTTACCTTCAACAAACATCAAAAATTCTGATTTTATATGTTACGTTATTTAAAAACATAAATGATGTATCCTCTATATGTTACTGACTTACTAATACTGGTATTTTCTTATTAATAACTTCCTCTTTCAATATTGGTAACCAGATCCTACTACATTCTGCTGAGGAATTTGCGACACAATTGGCCTCATTTAGCATAATTAGAGCCGCTTCTTTGATTTTTCTTTTTTTACCATCCGTTTCTTTTAGAACTATATTTGAATTATTCCATTGAACCCTATGTTCATCATCCCATGCGTGTTTACATATTTGAGATCTATCAAATTCTCTATTTTTAATATAAGATTGATGTTCACTTATTCTAACATTTAAAACGGATGGTAAAAAAAGAAAAATCAAAGAAGCGGCTCTAATTATGCTAAATGAGGCCAATTGTGTCGCAAATTCCTCAGCAGAATGTAGTAGGATCTGGTTACCAATATTGAAAGAGGAAGTTATTAATAAGAAAATACCAGTATTAGTAAGTCAGTAACATATAGAGGATACATCATTTATGTTTTTAAATAACGTAACATATAAAATCAGAATTTTTGATGTTTGTTGAAGGTAAACTAAATTCACTAACAAATACTTACAATGTCGGGATAGTATTATGAGGTTTTTTTCCTGGTTTTTCCCTCATAATTTACTATGGAATCACTAACAGGAGAATTTTACTGTCATCATGTCATGTGTTTGTCTTTTTAAAGACGAATTAGATGCTATGATTTTTTCTGACGGATATTCTCAAGTTAAAGTTGATTTCATGTAATCGAATGAACTATCTTATAAATAAAGTCGTCCCAGGAGCGCAACTCAACAATATTGGCAATATCATTTTAAAGTCGTCTACTTTAAAATGCATAATGTATGTCTGAATTGTCAATATAAATGAGTCAGATAAAATTAAATTATTAGAAGAATTTTTTCACTATGTAACAAAAAACAAAATTTGTTTAATTTACTGTTTGTATTTTGAGAACGATTTCCGAATTGGAAATTGAAACGTCAATAAACGTATTTTTATCTTTAATTGTGGCTTATTCCCAGTTATAAATAGTAATTAATTTACAATGCCACAAGAAAATAGCTTCAGAACAATAAACTATACTTATGTATTAATAAAAATTCGAATTGTTTTTACGATTTTCATCATAATTAAAATTTGTCATGCTATTCAGAAATAATGTTTTTGCACCAATAAATATCTGCATTAAAATTATTGTATTACTTCTAGATTTGCAAAAATAATGATAAAAATTAAATATTAATATGTCGTACACATAACTGTTGTATTTAATTGAATTTAAATATTTTTTTGCAAGAATTTTTAAAATTTGGAAATTTCGTCCTTATAGGGTTAAGCACATGTTAAACCCTTCAAATTGTTTACATCAAATTTTGGATTATAAGGCGTGTAGTCAATGTTGTTATATTTGAGATATATTATTAGATTTTTTAAATCATCACATGAGAACTGATTGTTATTAATACCAATTTTGGATAAATAAAGAAACGATTTTTTTAAATTTGTATAATCAAAATTAGATAAAAACGTATTATCTATATATAACGTTTGTAATCTTTCAAGGGTTTCCAAAGGTAGAAATTTGGTGGTATACATACCGGAAGAAAACAAACGTGCATTATCAGATATATTAAGGAACGATAAATTTTCTAATCCAGCGAATACACCAACTTTCAATGTATATATTCTGTTATTATCTAGTCTCAGTGTTTTAAGATTTTTTAAGTAATAGAAAGTTTGATACTCAATTGTTGACAGTTCGTTGTTATGAAGAAGCAACTCAACCAAATTTACAAATAATCTAAATGTTTCTAAATCAAGACTTTCAATAAAATTATTTGATAGGTCTAAATATTTAACTTTATTCGGATTTCCCAGTTTTGAAGTTTGGACGTTTTTTATAGATGACGAGATAAGATTAAGTTCAATTAAGTTGGGTAAACCGTTAGTGATTGCCGTTAAGTTTACAACAGTTAATTTGTTTCCTTTCAAGTGCAATTTTTGTAGTTGTGAAAGTCCAGCAAAAGCATTATTTTCTATTGTATTTAAGGCAGAATTGGAGATATTAAGAACTTGTAAATTAAACAAATCTCTAAATGTATATTCCTTCAACAATACTTTATTTTGAAATATTGTTGATGCATCTAAATAAGTTAAACTCGTTAAACCATTAAAAATGTTATCTTCAGGAACGTCAAATGTTGTATTTATTAAATTTAGAGATGTTAATAGTGGCAAATCGGCAAAGCAATTATTCTTTAGTAATTCTATTTGAGAATCTAATATAGTTAAGTTTTGAAGAAAAGCACTTGAAATAAATCGTTCGCTTACTGTGCCAGTCAACTGAATTACCATATTCTTAATTTCAACGGTATTATCCAGGATTATTGGACTTGATATTGAATTAAGAAGTAACGTCTCGACATTTACTAAGTGGAATGAATATTTTCCAATTCCTTTTATATTGTTATTTTTCAAGTTTACTTCTATCAAATTATTTAATTTGTGAAAAGCGTTTTGCGAAATGTATTCTATTTTATTTCCGTTTAAAAAAATGTAACGTACAGGTAAGTTCCTAAAAGTATAGTTACTCAGCAAAACTATGTAATTATTACTTAAATCTATGGTACGGATTGCTGGTAAACTAAAGAATACATCATTTTCTAGTATTGCTATTGCACTGTTCGAAAGATTTAATGACTTTAAATATTTTAAGTTGGAAAATGCTTTTTCTTTAATATAATGAATAGGGTTACCTTGAAGGTCGATATTTTCCACACTAGTGTTGTTAAAAGTATAGCTTTCCAATAATTCAATTGAATTGTTAGACAAATTAATTGTATCGATACTTTTCAAATTCAAAAAAGCATTCTGTTCAATATTTTTGATTTTATTGTGTGACAGGTCAATAATTCTTAAATAATCAAAATCACAAAAACTTTTACTACAAATCGTCGATATGTTATTTTTTCTTAAATAAATATTTCTTAAAACACTTTTAAGGTTTCTAAAAGTTGACTCATTGATGAACAATAAATTATTTTCACTAATGTCAAGGGTTTCTATAGGTACCCGGCCTTGAAAAGTTTCTGGAGGAATATCGGTTATAAAATTGTTGGAAATATTAAACGAAGATAAATATGAACAAGTCGATATTGATATTTGAGATAAATTTGTTATTCTATTAGACGAAAGGTCTAGTTGTTTTAGTTGCGGTATTCTCGTACAAATTCCATCTAATTCTTCAAGGGCGTTATGACTTAAATTTAAGTAGACGAAATAGTAGTAATTGGAAGAACAGCAATTTATGAAAAATTCATTACTTATTTTTTTTAAATTAGAAAAAGATAGATCAATAGTAGCAATGGCTGAATTTACTCCAAATACTTTATTAGATAATACATCAAAATTGTTGAAGCTCAGATTAAATACAGAAGCTTGAACAGATTGAAAATAATTTTGCGGAATACTGGTTAATTTATTATTTGAAAAATCAAAAATATCTGAGTCTATGTTGGGTATTTTATTACTATCCAAAACTGGCAAATCTGTATCGATCCAGTTTAACTTAAATATGTTTCGTATGGATAAAGAATTATTAGGTATAAAACTGGAATAAAAATTAGAAACACTGTAAGAATTGCTAGTGCCAATATACGAAATATTACTATTCCCGTAACCCTCAATTTTTAAAAGATCTTTATCACTTCGTAACGCTAGTTTTTGTAGATAATTATAACTTAAATCTAACGATTGTATATTTAACTTGTACTCAAATTCAGAGAAATATACTAGTTTATTATGGCTTAAATCTATAAAATAAAAGTTTGTGTAATCAGAAGCTGGTTTTAATATAGAAATTTCGTTATTGTTTAACCAAATTGATGACATTCGCTTCAAGTAATTAAAATCAAGTTCACAAATTTGGTTGTAACTTAAATCTAAATTAAAATTATTGTAATATGATATAATAATATCAGTTAACCAATCCAGATTTGTTATATTATTTTGACTTAAATTTAGTTGTGTCAAACGGTTAAAAGCCCTAAATGTATCGCTACTAATCGTATCTACTCTAGAGCTTTTAATAGTTAAAGAATTAATCGCAACTCTTGATGGATCTAATAAAGAGTTTGAAAAATCTACAAACGGTTGTATTCTGGAAAAGTAAGAATCTTGAATTAAAATTTCTGTTAAGGAAGAAATTGACTTTTTGTTGTGAAACAGTTCAATTAGGAAATCATCTTGGCTTATTCCTTGACATTGAAAAATATAGGAACTATAATTACATCCACCACATAAACTTAGAGCAGGCAGGAGTGAAACCAGTACCAGCAATTTCAACATTTTCCTGAAATATAATATTAATAAATTTGAATATAAATTATATAAATTAAAATATTCAACTAATTTTAAAACTTTTTTCTATAGCTAATATTAATATTAAAGTGTTGCTATAACAACTGTTTTGAGTAGATAAAGTATCACTTTAACCGCAAGGGTAGATAAAGTGACACTTTAACAGCAAGAGTAGATCAAATGTAAAATAAACTTTTTTTTGTTCAATAAAATTTACAAATTCAAACACATTAAGGATTAAAACAAAACAAAACAATTAACATTATTAGAAATATCTATTTTTGGAGCATCATAACTTGTACTCGTTTGCTTAAACACTTGATTCGAGGTACTGGATTGCTTTTCTGTAACATTTGTTTGACATTTGTTGACAGAGTAATTCATATCCCTAGCAACGGAGCAACACAATTGCGATTTTTGTGCTAAACATTACAATTTTCTTTGAAATTCTATTTTTCACCTGAACTTGAAGGCTTGCTATAGAAAAAAATGTTGTATTGCACACGCCGATAAAATCGCATTATCTTCTCGAGCATAATTAGCATCTCAATTGACGTCTGGATGCTAAAAAACGCTCTCAATGATATTCAATATTTCAAGATATCGAAAGTACAATTTTATCGTCTTGTACAATAAATAACTATTATCCTATTTACTCAAACAATAATTATAAAGGAATACGGTCCTGACATTTTAAAATAATATTCTAATATAAAGGGTGAATTACTTTGTAACTCTGAGTAATGAATACCCCCATTTTGTCTCAATTTTCGGATTACTCTAGCTGAGCTGATTTCAAAAACAATATTATCAAAAATACTTATTGTCTAGCGGACAGAATATGATGAGATACATGACTTTATAAATGTTCGAACTGCAGCCCTTGCTGTATATTACAGTAACCCAAACGTTGTACAAATTCTTGTTGAACCTTGTTTATTGTGTCTTGAGAAATATTGTTTATGGCTGTCCGAATTCTATGTTGTAATTCTTGAATATTTGCTGGTTTCGTTTGATACACAACATTCTTCAGATGGCCCCACATAAAATAATTAAAAGGATTGAAATCTTGTGACCTCGCTGGCCATTCAATAGGTCCACGTCTACCAATCCACCTGTTCGGAAAAATTTTATCTAGGTACCTTCTAACATCTACAACATAGTAGGCTATGTTTTTGTTAAATGGCATTATTTGTTTAGTAATTTATTGATGTTCAGTGACAGTTTAGTACTACAATATTTTTTGTATTTGTGAATGTTCTAATTATTGCGTAGATTTAATTCGAAGTAGAAATGGAGTTAAGTGTAAAGCAAAGAATTGAAATACTTATGATGATTGGGTATGGAGACAGATAGCGAACTCAGATAGAAGTGTGCAATTTGTTTAATGATAAATATCCAGAAAGACCTATAACGCATTCAACAGTCAGTAAGATTGAAAAGAAATTTCGAGAAACTGGTACGGTTGAAAATGCAGGGAAATCAGGTCGTCCCTCTGCAAATGCTGATACAGCATTAGATGTTTTACTTAGTTTTGAAGAAGATGCGCACACTTCTGTGCGTAAAGTTATTCGCGATATCGGTATTAGCAAAACAACGGTACACAAACTACTAAAGCATCAAAAATGGCATCCTTATAAAATCAAACTTGTGCAGGAATTAAACGAAGATGAGCCCGATAGAAGAATGCAATCTTGCGAAGCAATGATGGATAACTGCCACCGAGACCCTCTCTTGGTACAAAACAGTATTTTTTCTGATGAGGCCACTTTCACGTTAAATGGCGAGGTTAACCGTCAGAATAGTAGATACTGGGCAAAAGAAAACCCCCACTGGATGCGTGAGCATCATACACAATACTCACAAAAGATAAATGTATGGGCTGCAATTGTAAGAAATCGAATCATCGGACCCTACTTTATCGAAGGTAATTTAAACGGGGCAACATACCTTGAGTTTTTAAGGGGCTATCTCGTACCTACTTTACGTAATTTGTTTCCCAGCAGACGCAATCTTGGAGGTTTTGATGAAAGTTTATGGTTGCAACAGGATGGTGCACCTCCACATTATGCTGTAGATGTTAAAAAAAATAAAAATTTTCCGAACAGGTGGACACGTGAACCTATTGAATGGCCAGCGAGGTCACCAGATTTCAATCATTTGGATTATTTATGTGGGGCCATCTGAAGAATGTTATGTATCAAACAAAACCAGCAAATATTCAAGAATTGCAACAGAGAATTCGAACAGCAATAAACAATATTTCTCAAGACACAATAAACAATGATAATTTTTAGATTAAAATTAAATTGTTAGAAGAATTTTTCAGAAAATAACAAAAAAACAAAATTTGTTTAATTTACTAATGTTTGTATTTTGAGAACGATTTCCGAAGTGGAAATTGAAACGTCAATAAACGTACTTTAACCTTTAATTCTGGCTTATTCCCATTTAAATAGTAATTACTTTAAAATGCCACAAGAAAATAGCTCAGAACAATATTGAAAGATTTGTTTAACGAAATTATAATAACATAAAACCTAATACTCAATACAATGGAAAATGTCCAGTATTGCATTTTACAAACTAAAAATACTAAATATATAACGAACTCCAAAAAATTTCATCACGTTATAAAACACAACTACCCTTTGAAATAAAATATAAAAACATTTTAGATTTCGAAGCTATTTTACAAATATCATGTACAATAGATCAAATACAATATTTTCTTTTAATTCCTATTAATTATGAATCTAATTTCGACCTTTATAAATTATTACCAATCTCGACAAAAAGTAAGTCAGAATTTGTTATTATGTTACCAAACTCAGATATTTATTAAAAAACGAAAAAATAACAATTCCTCTAAATGACGTCTGTACTTATGGTAAGATCTTTCAATATCCTGGTTATCTCCAAATCAACCACGAGCACTCATACGATGCCAAAAAATTCTATTTCATGGCATCTCCACGGACTGCCAATACTTAAATGCGAAAATTCCATTAAACCATATCGAAATCATTCCGAAAATTAACCAATATTTAGCTGGCTTTTCTAAAGAAGAAAAAATACTTATTAAATGTGCAGAAGACGCGCAAATAAAAATCCTAAACGGAATTTATCTCATAGAGAACACACCATGTAAAATTATATTCCAGATAAAGAGTTAAATGTTCAAGATGTCATATCAGGACAACCAATGATGATAAACGGTGAATAGAATTCTTCAAAGAAAAGTTTGATAAAAACGAAGATCCACTATATGATGGAATTATACTGGATCAAACGGATACCAGAGAAACAACCCTTCATTAGCTGAAATGTAAGAAGCAGTTACCAGACTGAAAAACAACAAATCACCTGGATTAGACAACATTAGCACAGAATTAATAAAGGAAGGTGGAGACTTCCTATTGAATGCCATACACAAACTAATAGTGAATATCGAATAATAAACAACTGCCACAAGACTGGAATACCGGGGTAATTCCATTACATAAAAAGGGAGATCAGCTTCAATGCAAAAACTGCCGGGCAATAACGCTACTGATTATGGCATATAAAATACTGTCAAATATTATGTATGACCGATTGAGACCATATGCGGAACAAATAGTTGAGGGATATCAATGTGGTTTCCGCAGGCAAAAATCCACAATAGATCAGATCTTCGTCTTGAGGCAAATCTTGGAAAAGACTAGTAAATTTAATATAGACACGCATCAACTTTTCATTGACTTTGAGAGTGCCTATGATAGTATCCATCGAGAATTTCTGATCCGTGCACCGAAAGAGTTTAATATTTCAACTCAACTCAGTGATATAGTAAAAGAAACACTTAAAGTATAAAGCAAAATTCGAATTCAAAACGAACTAACAGATATAATCCATGTGAGAACGGGCCTACGACAGGGAGATGCCATATCCTGTATTCTATTAGATAAACAAAAGAGAAGCAATAATAACAAAATGTGTACAAATATTGGCATTTGCAGATGATGTTGATATCATAGCTAGAAGCGAAAGAGAGTTGATAGAAGCATTTAATGCGATAGAAAGAGCGGCACAAAACAGTGGTCTAAACATTAACGAAATAAAAACCAAATACAGTAGAACCCCTCATATCCGACCCTCACGGGACCGGGCCGATAAAGGTCGGATATGCCGAGGAATAATAAAACACGTTTTTCGGGTAAAAAAGCCGTATATTGCACTAAACTATTAGTACAGAACTGTACAAAATACCCACTCAATACACATATGTAGTGCTTATTTTTATATTACAGTAACAACGAAAAATATTATAAATACATACAGTACTGTACTGTTTAATCAAAAAGGCAAACAGTTAGAAGAAGTCCTTAATACTCTTTTGCTTCAATTTACCCAATTTTGATTTAGCTGAAAAATCACGCCATTTCTTTGCCCACAACACGTCCATAGGTGTAGCTCTCGGGTCCTGCTCCAAATATTTCAACACTACGTCAAATGCGTCTTTAGCCTCTGAATGCGTCACTCCAGTATCACGATCAACTTCTTCTTCTTCAGCGTCGCTGTCTTCATTATTTGCGCTTTGAACTGCAGCAACTATTTCGTCATCATTGAGTTCTTCATTTGTAGACTCACCACGGTCCAATCGTTGAAGCACTTCAAGTTTTTGTTTAAGGGTAACGCACACATGCTTACGTTTTTGAGTAGCCATAGCTAACGTTCACTAATCGCACAACACAGTTTTTTATACAATCACAAACCAAAGATTGTTCATACAACAATCACGAAAACAAAACAGTCAAGTATGTAGAGCAACGTTTACGTCGACAATCAGAACGCAACTGGCCGTTTAACAGAGAAACAATGCACAGCGCTGCTGATGAGTCATGTTTCATGTTGAGACTTGTCCGCCGGCAAACCGGCAAAAGACGGTCGGGCACATGGTCGGATATCCTGAGGAGTCGGATATCCCGAGGTCGGATATGAGGGGTTCTA